GAGCGCGGGCGCCACATGGAGTCCCCATGCCTCGGCGGGCGGGGCATGCAACCAGGCCCCCGCCCGCGGTTGCTGTAGCAGCTGTAGGTGGGCCCGGAAGGCCTCCCTTCCAAGGCCGGCAGCGCCAAGGTGTCGGAGCGTAACTCTGTGAAGCGCCTGAGAAAGCTGTTGCTGCCGAAGGGTTGTGGGCGCAGGGACAGGTATACGGTAGGCTTCCGGCACTTCGTTGTTGTAGCTGCTCGCTCATTGTCAAAGGCTGGGCTGTAGGCGTTGTCCAATGCACAGCAGAGGTCAGCAGTGGCCACCAGAGAGGCCAGGTATGCGGCGACACTGCGCCGGCTTTGCCCTACGCAGGCCCAGACCGCCCATGCCAGTTGGCAACGTGGCTTGCTCCCAAGCGTCAGGGGTAAGGGGGCCAGTGCAGGAGGCTTCAAGGCTGGCCCGGACTTGCTCATCATAAGAGGCCAGGGCAGCGCTGTGCAGCGAGGGGGGCGTGACCCGGCTACTGTAAACGACTTTGCAGTAAGAGGCACATTCCCTAAGCAGGACAAGTGAGGTCTGCGGATCCTCGAGCTCGCCAAGGGCCTCCATGAGAGGCCGGCTGGCCTCAACTCGCTTGCTGTACGCTGTACGTGTGAGCCTCACAGTAAGTCCTGTTGCCTATAGCAGCCCCAAGCAGAGCGAAGGCCCCCGAGCGGTTCACAGGCAACCCAGCCGGGAACAGGCTGGGGTTGACGGGGCAGTCGTCGCTGCAAGTGGTGAGGCAACACTTGGCTGGGTTGAGGACGAGCCCCACTTGCCGGGCGGCCGCAGTGAGGCGGGCCAACCCGCTGCTGACGTTCTGCACACTGCCCGCAAGGCAGACGTCATCCAGAAAGGCAAACGCCAAGTCAGCCAGCAGCAGCAGCACGAAGTGCAGGCTGCAGAGCCACCGCAAAGAGCCGCGCTCCCAGCGGGTCCCCCTCTTGAACCCCCGCCTCAGAGGTCATAGGGGCGCCCTGGAACAGGAGGCGACTATGATGAGCGTAGCACCACTCAGCGTACGGGGCGAGCCCTGGGAGCTTCAAGCGAACTTCACGTAGGAGAGCAGTAGGGTCGATGGAGTTGAAGGCGTTGGCGAAGTCCACCGTGAGGAAGCACTTGCCGCAATTGCTAGCATGGCGGTGGCACCACTGACGTGCGGTGTGTACGGCCGCCTCAGCGCCATAGGGCACAGCCACGCCAAGTTGGAGAGGCGCGAGCACTTCACGAGCAGCATCCTTGACCGCAGCGCAGAGGCACTTAGAAGCAAGGCGCCGGAGGCACTCACCCACGGCGATGGGCCGGCACCGCGTGTAGGGAGGCTCCAGCCACGTGAGGGGCCAACTCAAGCGGCGCTTGCCCCCGCACGAGCAGTTGAAGCACCTGCGTGAGGTTGGCCAGACCTCGTCGGTGTGCGCCGTGCCCAGCACTTTCTTGAGATGGTCACCCGCAGGCCGGTAGGGCCAGCCGCGCTCCCGCGCCGGAAGCTCTTGATGGCTTGGAGGACATCTGTAGCAGCGATGTCAGGCACGGCTTCCTGCGCAGGCGGGCTCAGTGGGACCATGGCCGCGCGAGCAGGCACAGCCTGAGGGTGCTTAGCGCGCAGTTTGGCAGTCACTCCGTCTTCAGCACCAAGCAACGGCGGAGCCACCAGTGCAGCGCAAGCCCTGAGAGTTCTCCTTCAGCCGCCAACTTCAGACAGCGGGCTTGGTTGGCCCCGGGCTGCTCGAGCCGCCGCCGACGAGCAGCGGGAGGCTCGTTCCAGAGGGCGGTTCGCTCCCCGCCCAGCCAGCGCTGACAGCGTCGCAGGGTGTATTGGGCGGCTTGCTCCCGCCGTTTGGCACCGCCTCAAGGGGCCGGGACCAACACTGCCTTGGGCAGCATAAGTAGTTCGGTCCAGGCGGCCAGCGAGTTGGTGGCAGCAACTCCGGCCAAAGCACGGGCCAGGCACTGAGCCCAGGCAGCCCTAGCAAGTTTGGGCACATGCCGCATGACGGGGATGTTGGCGGCGCAGGTTTGGCCCGAGCAGCCGGGCGGCATCTATAGGCTTGCGGGATGTCCCCACTGAGGGTCCCGACACAATGGTCATTGAGGTGAGCCTTCATGGCGTTGTGCGACGGCCAGGCAGTGGCTGAGGCCTGCCCGGGCAGCCAGGCACAGGGCAGAAGACGGCGTCTTGTCTGCGATGAGCGCCCTGAGGCGAGCGTTCTCGGGGGCCGGAGGCATGGCCTCATCAGGCCCCGGGTTGGAGGCCTCGCCAATGCGCTGCCCGCGTAAAGGCCAACCACTCCACAGGCTAGTGTGCTGGGTAGTGCTGCAACACAAGGCAGCCAGCAGCAAGCAAGCGGCCAAGCGGGCACACGCGCGACTCCGTCGGCACGAGACAGGACGCCGGGCCCCCCGTTGCTCGAAGCTCCGTCGGCACGGGCCCAGGCGCCTGCCGCCCCGTTGCCCTCGCTAGAGGCTCCGTCGGCACAGGAGCGGCCCCCAGCCCCCGTTGCCACAGAGGCTCCGTCGGCACGGGCCAGGGCACCGCCCCCCCCGTTGCCTCAGCCCCTGCCCCGCACCGCTGAAGCCTACTTCCGGCTCGTTGCTGCCAGGGCTGCTGCCAACAATTGGCCCGCTGTTTGGCAAACAAGCGGCGGCAGGGCCGCTGCAGTGTGAGGCGCACCTCAGTCCTGAGCCCTGAAAGGGGGTCGTAGGTGGTGCTGTTGGGTCGGGGCCGCCAGTGAAAGTTCAGGGCTGCCGTCAGTCTCTTACGCTCCACTCGCCCCGCTCGCGGCAGGTGATTGTATACCTATAGGCCCCAGGGCAGCTCAGGGCTGCACCAACCAGGACGCAGACTTGTAGGAGGAGTGTCCAGGAGATCTCCCCGGGGGAGGGGGCCATGGCTTGAGTCAGGTGGCTAAAAGTCAAAGTCGTACTCAAGCGGACCCCTGATGCCCAAAACCTTTCTATAAACCCTTAAGCCCTAAACTGCACCCTTGAACCCATAAAACCCTTCAACCCCTAACCCTTAAAACCGCGAACCCTTAAAAACCTCAACCCTGAACTCTTTACCCATAGAAGCCTGTACCCTAAACCCTTAAACCCTAAGCTTACCTTAGACTTACCTTGGGTTAGCTAGGAATGAAGGAAGGGATCCTTGTAGTAGTCCCCATATAACGCATTACAGTAAGTTTCCATTTTCTTTTTCATTCCTTCCTTCCCAGCTAACCAAATGCCGCGGACGGTTCTGTGCCGTGTGCCTATCAGCGTAGCATCTCATGCTCCCGATCTGCGCCTCATACTGTCCTCAGATCCCCAGATTTAAGGTTTTTGGGGTTTGGGGTTTAGGGTTGGGGTTCAGGATTTAGAGTTTAGGGTTTGGAGTAGACCCCCCAGAGTTTTCTGTTGGTGTGTCTACGGTCTACGGTTTTTTTGAAGATTGTAGAATTTAGGATTGTCTGTAGATTTTGGGGGGCTTAGGGGTTGTTTGGGGGGATGAGGGGTTGTTTTGAAGTACGTTTAAGGTGTAGCGACGCTTGGTTGGTATTTTAGGGTTTGCTGTTTGGTTAGGTGCTAGGTGTTTGGGGTTCAGAGATTAGCTTCGCGTATAAGGATTAAAATGATGGAGCACCACTCGCAACAGGATAAAACAAATATCTTAAGGACAAGTTTCCGAATTCAGTTGCTTGAAATCTGGACGTTGGAGCTACCACATTCTACCGAAGCTCTCCCATGCCTGAAAGAATCCTATGTGCGGGTTGCTGTGTGTAGTGCCACACTTGAAACTGCACTTCAAAATAACCAGGGGATGTTGGAACCCAAGCATCCCGCCACCCCCCATCCCCCCGGAGAAAAAATGGCGCTATGATTATCATCTCATGGTCTTAGAGGGTCTTTACTTTTGTTCAGAGTTACAGAAATCGTTTATGATAACATTCGGGGGTCTAACACGGCCCTCTAAAATCCCTAAACCCTCATCCCTTAGCCCTATAGTCCTCCTTGAGTAACAGTAGATAGAACATGGGGTATGTGGGATAATGGAAAAGAAAATGGAAATTACTATTTGGGGTTTAGGGTTTAGGTATAGAGTCCCCCTTAAGTAGATAGAACATGGGGTATATGGGGATCTCATTTTAATATACCCAAAGCCATATTCTATCTACGTAGGGGGGACGATACTCCAGAACTCTTCAGCCGCTACCAGCCCAGGAGTCGTCTAAAGAGCTGCCCTTCCGGCTGCTTTGCTAAGATTCTACTGCTGGAGGATAGGGGGGGTTCGCAAAATGTTGGGGTACCCTTTAAGGTTATATATAGGGGATACGTAAGGGTTTAAGGTGTCCTAAACTTCGGGGTCCCTATAGTAAGGCAGTAGAGATTCCAATCTATTGGCGTCCTCCCATTTAGGGAAACTACTAAATCCCCACCCGAAGTTCCCTACATCCTAGGTCCTAGGAATTCCTGTGGTATCAGGGCCCTAGGTGGTGCAAGATTTCCTTCCACCATCACAATAGCAAAAAGCAGGCCTGACACACTAAGCCCTAAACTTACTGGGGGTTAGTCGGGAATAAGGGAATACATTATAGGTTTTGAGTTTAGGTTGTTTTGGGGTTTAGAGTTAGTAGGGACTAAGGAGAGAGAGAGAGAGAGAGAGAGAGAGATATATATATATGTATATTCACATAACAGGGAGTATTTAGGGTTTCTATTTCCCTATTCCCTACTAACCACCAGTAAGTAAACCTAGCAATCAAAAACCGGCCCTGGAAGTCTAAACCCAAAACCCAAACCCCTATACCTTAAATGTCATAAACGCAAATATCCAAACCCTAATCCCTATACCTTAAACATCCTAAACCCTAATCCCTATACCTTTACTAATTATCCTAAACCCCAAATATCCTAAACCCTAAAAAGCAGAAACGTGCCTCTTGAGCCAAGTCTCGCTGAAAGGAAGGATCTGCCACCTTGACTGCTACGAGGCTTAGAGTTCAAGGGCTCAAGGGTATCTTAAGCTGGAATTGTTAGGGTTTTTTTCCGGGTTAGGGTTTTGAGCTTTAGGGGCTTAAGGATTTGGATCAAGTGCTTCATGCTTCATGGCGTAGGGCTCAGGGCTGCTTACTTCAGGGTTTTAGGGTTGGGGTCTGGTTGTCAAGCACAGCTCGAGATTTGGGGGTTGCAAAAGTTGCAGATCCCTTTCTGGGGGCTCCCGAAATCAGGGTTACAATATTTGGGAGTTCCCAAAATGAGGATAAAATGGTTTTGGGATTATCTTGGGGCTGCATGTTGATTGAAAATTCCATGTCTACTGTATCCCACACAAGGCTGACACTGTGTAGGGCTTGAGGCTTATAAACATGTTGGTATCTACCTAGACCCGAAACTCGAGGGGTACTGGAGTTGTATTGAGGCTTGTATGGGCTTCCTATGAGGATATGAAGCTGGTAGCTTCGAACATCGGAGCATCCTGGGACAGTGCCTGAAATCTCTGGGCTAGTATAGCTTGGGTTTCAAGATTAGGATTAAAAGCTCCTAGCGTTTTGCTTCATGGTCAGGGTTTAGGATTTAGGATATAAGATATGCAATGCTGTAAATTCACATTTGTGAACAGTGTCATAGCACCTGTGGGGAAAACTGCGAATTGCCTGTGCTATGATTTGCGAGTTCTTTCAACACCTGACAAAGGCTTGTAAGGATTCCAAGCAGCTACTGGGCTTCAGAGACCAAACGCAACACGGTCAAGGATGGACCGGGCAGAAGCCAAAAGACTTAAAAAGAAGACTAGTTGGCAGCAACTACAGGAGGGACGTTTATGTAAGGAGTATATGATTAACGGGTAAATAGGGACCATGGAGAGTTATAAAGTGGGTATATAAGGCTCATATAATAAGGTCCGTACATGGCAACTACCCCTCATGTAGTAGCCTTAGACTTATCCGCGCACCCCTACACAATCACAACAAAGACTTTGTTTTCATCCTGGCGGCCCCTATAGCCGGGGGGGCGATAGCTTCATACTGAATATCCTGCATGACATTCAGTATCTTCTACCAAAGGAAGTAGGGTACTGTAGGGCTTTTTTCGGGTTGGGGCAACCTGTTTCTGGAAACCTCCATCTCTAAAAAGTACCGAATTATCCGGCTCCATTTCAGAATTTCAGCGAACCCTTTTCAAGAATCCGCATTTTTTTGAAGAGCCCACTATCTGACAACCCCTATAGTGGACATTTTCAGACAGGGGACCTTGATTCTTGGAACCTCCCATACCTTTTTGCAGGCAAGCCTAGGTGTAGGTAAAGACTAGATGCGCTGCCACATCAGGTGCTTCCCCAGCGAAAGTCTGGGGTTTCAGGGCTGAGTCTCCGGGGTTTGGGGATTTGGGTTGTCTGAAACCAGCCC